ATACATACACACACACACATATATATATATATACATACTACACACACACACACACACACACACATATATATATATATATATATACATATAAACTTAGATATACATATACATGCTTATACATATATGGATACTGCCTATTTATAATGTAAAATCTGACTCACCTTGTAGTCATAGCTCGTGGCCCCGAGAATCACCTCGGGCGGACGGTACCATAGTGTGACGACACCAGGCGTGAGCCTCTGAGTGAATCAATTGGTTCATGGACAAAGTAAGGCGGAGAACGAGGTGAGCAGGTGAATTACCTTCAAACAAGCAGAGATACATACTGTTGATAACGACTGCTATCGAAGAGGTGTTGATCAGTAACTCCTTGACTAAAGGGGCTATTTATCAAGGGTTCAGGGTTAAGGGTTTGGGGTTTAGAGTTTGAGGCTATGAATATGACGCAAGTATGAAGAGTGTACTGTGAGTTCCCACCTCGTAATTCAGCGGATTTTTTTTAGGGTTTTTTATATAGAGTTTTAGAGTTTGAGAGTTTAGGGTATGGAGACGACGCGGCAACTCTAAAGGAATGGAGGAACCTACGCAAGCAATGCCTTAAAGCGCGCACGATTGAATGCAGAAATGACCTATGCACACACCTTTTCTATCCTTTCTTGCAGCACCGTTTTCCTCGCCAGACCAAAATCCGCCAGTTTCAGGATGCCGGTATTGCTAACTAATATATTCGAACATTTCATATCCCTAAAGTAATGGCGAGAAAATGTTAGAAATTAGGAGAAGATTATTTATTTCAAGAGGCTCAAATGCAGCTAGAATGTATACACACCGATGTGGAAAGTATCACCATGCTGTTCGGTGGTAATGAGTTCATAATATAGTTTTCCTCAGAGGTATCGAGTCATGCGTCAGAGATATCCATACTTGTTATGCACACCGGTACCGGTATCAATCGGAATTGTACCAGAATTGGTCAGGAATGTACACTTGAGGTATACGCACAAACTGCAGTGAAAATTGTATCAAAGTTCGCAAGGACGAAGTAAAGTACCCACTAAAAAACTTTGATGATTTTTTTGTGTGTAATTGTGCTCTCAGTTTCGAAGAAGCCCATTGGTAGTAGTAGAAGATATAGCAAGCTACAACTCCCGCTAGGACGCACTTTCTCTCAATACACGCACACACGCACACATGCATATACACGCTTAAGCACGGCTATCGATTTCTTCAGCGATTTATTCCTTATTTTATTCAGCGAAAGAGGGGGTCTAATGGGAAGTGCACACACACACACACACACACACACACATATA